TCCAGATCATTGATAAAGATATTGAACAAGACCGGCCCCAAAACTGAGCCCTGGGGAACACCGCTCATGACCGGCCGCCAACTGGATTGAACTCCATTCACCACAACTCTCTGGGCCCGGCCGTCCAGCCAGTTTTTGACCCAGTGCAAAATAGCATTGCATGGGGTCCCATCGAAGACTTCTAACATCACCACGTGTCTCCTCAGTATGAAGAGATTTCTCAGAACAGGAAAAATAAAGTACCACAAGTTATTTCCCATATCATGATGTGGTATCTATCATATGAACAGAAAACACCTTCTGCAGTAAAACCTGTAGTCTGTAAAAATGCTGTAGACAGTAGATTTCCTTTCCCTTAAAATCAAAAGCCATCTTCTCAAAAGAAATACATTTAAAAAATGGACAATTTTGTTAGGATCTGTTTTGACAACATAATATTTCATGTCTGCATTGAACTTAGTTTGTGTAAGTATGTGCTTGTGCCTATATGAGAGTGCATGTGTGTGATCATCTTTCTTCCTCTCTGCACTGTAAAGAGGAAGCTCGCGCGTGTGTGTGTGTGTGTGTGTGTGTGTGCCATTTCAGGCTTCTTCCTCGCTGCATTGCAAAAAGGAAACGCAAGCTGGGCTTGACAGCCTGCGTCTTACAGAACCAGCTTTCATCTTCACCCAGGAGCAGACACCGCAACTTTGTTGGGGCTTCGCCTCTCGGAGTTGTCGGTCCCTTTGCTCACAGATAAATACCGTAACGGGATACCGCTATCACCTGTTCTGCTCCTTAACAGAAAATCTGCACCCCGCTGTACGACTTCTCCGACAATCTGCAGGAAAAAAAGCAACAAATCTCTTTAACTGACAATATTTGTACCCCAAGCTGCTGTTAGGACAGGTGTTCTGCGGTATTTCTATTTTTGACAGTACAGGCTTCACACAGATAAAAAGGGACACCTGTATGCTAAAAAAATGCCCATAGGAGTAGCTGAGGGTGAAGGCAGGCTCATTTTCCGTAAGTGCTTCTTTTTCGAAAGTTCATATTATTTCATTAGGTAAAAGAAAGCAAAAGGGCTGCAAAAATTGGTAATGTATTCTTCCTCAAAGGCAAGTACCAGCATGATTTGTTAGCATTAACGGCTGAAGTTCGGTAGGTAAGGTGATACAATAAAATATATTGTTCTTTAAAGTTCTTATAAATTAGTTATATTGCTATGATATCTAAAACAGATACTTAGTCTTCTTGAGATACCTCTGCATGATTAACAAAACTCTGCTAAAGCCCTTGAAAGATTCACCTGTGATTTTTCACCCCGGCTCCAAAACCTTTTATAGCCTCTTAGTGCAGTGCTCAGAGTGGGTGCCTAATTACATCATCCTGTAAATAAGAAAACTCCCCAACTGGAAGGTTGTCTAGCTATAAATCCTTTATTAATGTCATGTTAACAGATACAGCTACTCTATATGCAAGTGGTGTGCATGCAACACGCACGGATGTAAACAACCAGACCAAACCAGAGCTCCTGTTTCCTTGGCTTTTTTCAGAACTGCGTCTTCGCTGGAAGACTTAATCGATGTTAAACTGATGATGTGCCTACACAGCAATCATTTACGTAGTTTAGGAGTACCGTCTCTATAGGTACTATTTTCATTAAGCCAGAAAAGAGCTGCCCCTGTGTGCACAGCCATATCAGCACGTTGCAAAGTAAACCCACACATAACAAGTCAAACAAGCTACACCAGTCAATGCACAGTTTTGACAGCACATTAGGGATCTCTGCCAACAGGGCTCTGTTGACCTGGGAACATCTTCACACAGCCGCAGTGTACGTACAGCTCTGGCTTAACTGCATTTGTGGGCAAGCACATGCTGAGTTCAGCACGGTCTGGGACAGCACAGCCAAACAAGATGTACCCGTGTCCACGCTCGTCATTAAACTAAGTTCAAACTACGACTGTGGTCACAAGCGTGGTCAACGCCGGGTTGTTTTGCTGCCGCTGATAAGAGGCTGGCCATTGCAGCAATGTCTGCTGAGTCTCGGGCGGCGGGGTGTAGGTGTGGGCTCCGCCGCTGCCGCGCTGCATTCCAGCAGGCTGGCCGAGACGCCACCCCGCAACTCTTACTAGCAAGTAGAGATTAGGACACAGAGAAAATGCCAAGGATGGAGGGGTGGGGTTAACCGCAGCACTTTCCCATTTAGGGTGACTAACAAGTAACAGCCCCTGATCAGCCCAGGGCTCTTCCTCAGTCCAGGGGTCCTCACCTACAGCAGCCCCAGGCAGGTGAACGAACTCGCAGCACGGTGCCGCCGAGCAGTGGAGCGAACTGAGCCTCAGCCAGCCCACCTTGCCAGAGGGAGAATCGCTGGGGCATGCCATCCGTAAGGGTGGTTTTGGGGGGAAGTGTGCCTGAAAGGAAAAAGGGGGAACCCGAGATGACACCCCTCAATGCCAAGGTAAACAATCTGTGTCCAAAAATGCGTATTTGGTCAGTTCAGTAGGACGTAGCTTGAGCTTTGAGTGTTATTGGTTTTCCTCTAATAGTAGTGTTTAGCAATGCTTTTTTAGACCTGCCAAGGCTCTGGGTTCCTAATATATCTCTGGTGTAATTCTGCTTGCCTCACTGCAGTTACACCGGAGGCGAATTTGGCCCTTTAATCGTTTGGGGTTGCTGATCACTCTGGGTGTGCTGCTTGCTCTGCAGATTTTCTGGAGGACTGGAATTTCTTGTGGAATTCTGTTCTGTGAGGCAACGGCTGTGTGGGCAGCGAGTCCTCCTCAACATCGGTCTGAGCACAGTCGTTAGAGGATGTGCTCTTGACGTTGTTGCTTAATCGGTAATCACCTCTTCACCTCTGCCTCCTTCAGGCTCACTTTTCTGCTCATCACTTCCACAGTTTGTCCCTACAGAGAAAATGGACTCATGACTTCCTCCTGAATGTAAATAGGCTATTTTCCATTTAACTAATATTCCTGTTATAGTATTTTGTAACAAGGCAATCAGTAGAAGTGAGTAACGCATGCTTTCTTTGCCACAGATATTAACGTAATACTGCTGCAGCAAAGAAAAGCATGCCAGGCAGTAAGGGAAGTCAGCGGAGCAAATACAGTAATCACTGTCCAGGACAGAGATCCTCAGTCAAGGGCCCAAATTCATCCCAACCCAGTGGGAAAAACTTTCCTCTACAAACATTTATACTGGCAGCTCTCAGCATTTCCATTTCGTAGTCTGAAATACAGATAGATTCCTTATCAACAGCCTTATAAACAAGAGCGAGGTAGAAACGCAAAAGAGGTCCGAGGGTCACTGATTAGAGAAGGAATGAAGACAGTGAATGTCAGAGCTAGAGAGTGAGGGAAAACAGGCTGAGGAGGTGACGAAGGAGGAAGCCTTAGCAAGAGAGGTGGAAAAGGACCAGAGGCAAAAAGTAGAACTTCAGACATCTGGATAAACATGAAACGTCAAATTTGGAGAAGGTCTCCTTTCGTAAAGGAGAAAGTTTGTAGTTTCTCTTTCATTTTTAACAGTCCTACATGACATACTTATTGTTTACCTTTTGTTGTCCTTCTTTCAGTAATTATGCTACTCATAAAGAAATTAAATTGCTAGATATAGTGTATATTTAAAACTATTATTAATTACAGGCATTAATCATTGTTTCTTTACGTGTGCTACCTTGAGTCTGGGCTGGGGCTCAGCTGTGCAATGCTCTCTGCGTGTATAATGCTCTGCATAGGGGACAGCCCGTGTTACCTGCGAACTTGTGCAGTGTGCACTGAGAGTATCAAGCTCACGCTAAGTGCATATGCGCTTCAGTCCTTAACTACGTACGTGTGTTGTGGTGGAGTCACCCATGGAGATCTCTAATATTTATTCAGTCGAACAGCCTGATGACTTCAGGATGGTAAAAAAATCTGAATTTTCTTATGTCTGTGCATCTCAGGATGGAATTTGTCTTTCCAGACCTGGCACTTCAGATTGCAACTGCTCCACAAAATACAGTCAGACGATTGTAGGAGGATCTTTATTTGGAAGGAGTAGTTACTGACTGAATTGACAGTTATTATCAGGTGTGTAAGGATAGGAAAAATTGTGTGATGATACTGGGATTACTTTCTCCCAGACACTGCACATTTTAAATAAGTTTTGAACACGTTAAGATAAATGATTGTCACAGATGCTACAAATAGAAATGCACAAAAAAAAAAAGCCAAATCTTATGAGAGTTCCAGTTTCGCAAATTCAGCGAGTGCAGACAAATGTAAAAAAAAATTACATTTTTTAATTTTTACCCGAGCACAATATTTCAAGGTGCATCCATCCCTTGTAACAGATCGCAGAACACAGACAGTGAGCAAGCCGGGATGTACAGACACTAGTCTTGATAAATAGCAAGGGTCTTTCAGTTTTATTTCTGCGTTCTTTTTCAAGTAAAGGTGTCGGGTGATTGGAAGATAAAGTCAATTTGTTTAAGCACAAAGTAATTATACTAGATTAGGACACTGAAAATTATTCATATCATTTATAAACTGCCAGGTTGTAGAGTACAGATATTGCATCGGCCATATCGGAAACTTAATTTGTTTTTAAATCTGTGTTTCAGGGACTTTGATGAGAGTATGGCTTAACTTATTCCTAACACGCTAAAGCTAGGAAATATGAAAATTAATTTTTCACTGGTTTCTTGGTAAAATGAGGTAAAAGTGTTTTCTGTTACTAGACAAAGTCAGGTTAAATAGACATAAAAGGCTTTGTTCTTCTCTGACTGAAGTCAAAGTCAAAATTCTTATTAACATGAAAGGGAGCAATATCAAACCTATGACCTTGAGAGGAAATAGCAGTGGTATTGCATCTGTAGAATAACAGGAACATGCTTTGAATGCTGGAATACACGCTGCATTTTGTTTACACTTAGAAGAATCACTTATTGCAATATTTGCGTAGTGTTCAGTTCTGTTCAATTACAGCTGTCTGTGAGGAAGAGTTCAGTGGTGTAGGTACCAGATTAAAACCAGATTTCTTTCTAGAGCCGTAAAGTCAAATTCCAGTGAGATGGATACAGACTTTCATCCATATGAAGGAGAAGATCGTTTCAGGCAGTCTAATCCATGAAGCCTTTTCTTCTTCTCCCCCTTTGGAGACATTAAATGAATGGTGATGCCTCGTCTGTCTCCTTGGCTGTTAAAGATCCCTTAGGCCGTATTTCACAGGAGGAGGGAGCGTAGCTTGACTAAAAACAATCCCATCCCTGTGCCATACTGCATGTGGCCCAGAGACGCCTCCTTTTCACCAGTGATGCGCTCCCGGTGTAACATACGGAGTATTAGACGTATGTACGATTGTCTGCACAAATAGTGCACAAAGCTAAAAGGAAATAAAGTGGTCGCAGTGGAGGCAGGCTCGAGAAACGTGCAAGGGACGCTGCCTCCTGCCGCCGCTCGCTGCTCTCCCCTCACCGCCTCGCCCTCCCCACACCACAGTCAGCCTCTCCCAGGTCTCAGGCTGGTTTTAGGATGCAGGTCTTTTAAGGAAGGGGTTTGCCTGCGAAGCTCGCCGTGCAGCCACGGAGCCGCATCACCCCTTCACGGGGACAGCCGTGGCGTTTCCAGAAAGCTCCACGAGAATAAAGGCCGCTCCAGTGAGGCCTGCGTGAGGGGCCGGCATGGC